GGAGTCTGAGCCTGGGGGGGGGAGTCTGAGCCTGGAGCAGGAAGCTTTGAGGAGTTTCTAGGTCTCTCGTAAACCAGTGCTGAGGGCCAGCATGTGGGGTGAATGTCTGCCACATCTCTGCTCCCCGCTTCTCTCATAAAAGTATAAAATCAAAGAACCCAGGGCAGTGCACAGCCTTCGGAGCTCTCAGACATGGTGTCCTTGTCTTGATGGCACTCCATGCAAGCCCCACCTGCCTGTTCGCACACTCCAGGGACCCAAGGAGATGCGCCAAGGCACGTGTCAGCACCAAGGAAGCCCTGTCCATCTGGCGGCCGACACCCCTCTCTGTGGCTGGGCAGCGCCGGGCCTGCAGTGAGGGCGCCTCAGCCGCTGTGACGTCACACAGACCAGTCCCTGGCTGGAGCCACAAGGCCCCTTCACCCTCCCCACCCTCTGCTTCCTTGCAGGGATCGACTACAAGACAACCACCATCCTGCTGGACGGCCGGCGAGTGAAGCTTGAGCTCTGGTGAGGGGTGGGGTAGTGGTGCCACAGGGTGAGAGCAGAGGTGCTAGGGGAGCACCCGGGTGCGAGGGTGCTGTGGGGGGACACGTCCCACGGGCAGGGTACCACTGGCTACCTCCTCAGTGGTCCTCATAGAGTTTTCTGGAACTTTACGGTCAGGATATGCCCCACCTGGCCCCAGCGACATGCTCCCTCTAGGGCTGGAGGCAGGGGTTGGTTTGCTGTCGGTCTCACTGTGCTCCCAGCCCTGTTGGGTGAACCGTGGGCAGACCCTGTGGACTGGATGAGGAGGGCAGGCGGGTCCTGGGACCATGTCCCTGCTGACCCCCCTCTATGTTGCAGGGACACCTCGGGCCAAGGCAGATTCTGCACTATCTTCAGGTCCTACTCTAGAGGCGCCCAGGTAAGGCAGACGTGGCTGGCTCTCGCTGAAGGCCTGCTGCCATCCGGCAAACGCTTCCACTGAGAACCTCTCCTTGTCTGGGGGACGCGTCTTCCTGGACGCCCTGCTGAGGGCCCCACATGGGCTATTTGTCCAGCTCACAGGGCCAAGGGGAGGCCCTGTGGCCTCGCCCGGTTTGATCAGGATCCTTCCTTTCTGCTGAGTGTACATGCTGTGGGTGGCCCAGGCCCACTTGGAGGAGTGGGGGCTCTGGCTGGTTCTGGGGATGGCTAGGCTGGGACGCCCTCAGGACACATGCTGGGGAGATGGGGCTGCACACAGCCTGGCAGTGGTTCCATGCTGTGTTCTCTGTATTGGGGTACGGCCAGGGTTGCTCCTTCAGTCTGTGCAGAGGTAGGTGAGAGGTCCTGGCATCCCGGAGTGGCCTGTGCCTGTCGCATTCCCGCAGAGGAGTGGAAACTGGGCACAGGGCCCTGGGGAGGGGGCATGCTGCTCCCTGGGTGCAGGTCCACTGCGACTGCTCATCCTTGCAGAAACTCAAGACTGACAGAAAGATCTTCATGGGCGTCTGTCACCGAAGTTAGGTTGAGAAGCGGCAATCAGAGGTGGGGACCCAGACGCAGACACTTCAGGGCTGGTTTCAGGTGGAAGGTAGCACAGAGCGTTTGTTACCTGGGCCTTTGAAGAGGAAGGCCTTCCAGAGACACCACCAGCTGCAAGGAGTGAGTGGAGTAGCCAGTTCTGGGGGCTTGGCAGCCATCATGCCCCGGAGATTCAAAGTCTCCCTTCTGTTTTTCTGGGTCACCTGATCTCTCACAGTGACCATGCACACCACCCCGACCCCTGGCCCTGTGTGTGGCAGGGCAGCACGCACCCCACAGGGTTTCCGGTGGCTAAGTTTTCAGAGGTTGATTGACAGGGCTTTCTTCCCGGGCACGTCTGGGTGGACCTGAACCCCCAGCCTTCCTCTTTGCAGCCTATCTTTCGTTACAAAAAGGGAAACGGAGAGACAAGGGCACCGTCTGGAACGACGGTAAGGGGGGATATTGGGAACCCCCAGAAAGGCCTGACGGGGCCCAGCCGTGAACGTCACCACCATGGCGTGGCGCTCTGCTGGGGAGCCGCTGGCAATCTGCTGCGTTGCCCGTGGAGCGCCCTTCGGAGCGGGCACCGGGTGGTCATCTGTGTTCTCTGCAGTGTCGGGCACAGCCCGTCCTCGGTGTGGTGGCAGGTTCTCGGCCGGCGTTTCTGGGCTCACCTGCTCTGGGCGGGGCGGTTTCCAGTGCACGTTTCTGCGAGGGCAGCCGCAGCCCGGCCCTGGACTGTAGCCTGGGCTCCCACTGCTGGGCCTGCTCACCTTGTCCCACGCTTTTCCATCCACCTCCTTCTGCTCCTGGATCCCTGACACCCAGACGCACCAGGAGCTGCGTCTCCCTGAGTTCTTGTTCTGTCTCCCACCTCCGCCTACCTTTGTCAGAGGGCTACAGAACTGCCTTGGATCTGACGGTAGGGCCCAAGTCCCATGGGCAGTGTGGTCGCCCTGGTGTGAGGAGCCAGGCCACACATCCAGGTGTGAGGTGGCAGGTGGAGTGTGTCTGTGGTGGGAGTGGCCAGCACTTGGTGGGGCGTTGGGGGCGCCCAGCGGCCATTCTGGGGTTAGAGGAGGGAGCCTGTGTGAACCCATGTGACCGTGGACTTCAGGGGGTTCTGGTCACGGGGAGTCTTGTACCGTTTCTCACTGTCCTCCTGTGGTAAATCCAGAGTTGTTTTGGTCCCTGCTGCCTGTCACCTGACTGGTATCGTCACCATTTGCCTCTGCCCTTCCTCCCCATGCCTGGCTGTGTCTCCTCTGCTCATAACCCTGGCCCACCAGACTTGCACCGTGCTGTGGAGTGACTGGGGGCAGCGCCTGCCGAAGCCGGGGGGAGGCAAGGCTGCTGCTGGGCTGCCCGGAGCTCCGGCAACCCTCGGGGCGGGTGAAGTGGGCCCGGCCAGCCGGAGAGGGCTGTGCTTCATTCCTAAGAACGTGCATGGCCGTGTTCACGGAAGGAGGCTTAGACAAAAGTCACCCACTGCCCACCCACTTGGCATTTGGCTTGCATCACTGTCTGCTTGTTCTGTGAAGGTGTGGATGTGGTTACACTTTTATTTTTTGCTCATGATGTCTAGGACCTGCGTCTTGATGTCAGTCTAGTGGGTGTTTTTTTCTGTGATCGGCAAACCTGCTGCTCTCTGAGTCCCCTGAGGCCGTGTATAAAATACCACGCAGCTGGTGGCTTGAAAGAACAGAGCTGTGCTCTCTGCTGCTTCTGCAGGCCAGACGTGCTAACTCGGGGCACCAGCAGGCCTCACCTCCCCAGAGCTCTAGGCAAGAGCCCTCTCACCTCCAGCACCTGGCAGCCCTGGTGTGCTTGGGGCTCCTTGGCTGGTAGGGGGGCCTCACAGGCCGGCTTCCCCCACGTGACTGTTCCCGTGTCCATCCTCTGTCATGAAACACCACACAGAAGGGGTTGGGGTTAGGACCCACCCCACTCTGAGAACATCGGCAAAGAAAACCTCATTTCCCCACACAGGGCCCCAGTCAGATACAGGGGTTGGGACTGTAACCTGTCTCCTTTGGGGACTCAGTTCCATCCACAGCGACTTCCAAAGTGTTGTTTTTAATGTTGTTGTCGTCTGTCTGTGTGGCTGGCGCAGCCGTCCCTGGAGTTCCTTGTGATAAACAGCGCTGTGACGGGCACCCTCGGGCGAGTTGGGAACATCTGGGACATCTCTTGGAATCGCAGGGCGCACTGTAGTGCATGTCTTTGGTGGCACAGCTCCTCCATTCACACCCCGCGCCGGTAGCAACGGTGGGCCTTCTCTCGCCACCCCAAGCGGCCAGATCCACTCCTGGGAACGCGGGGCGGATGTCCCGATGTTCCCATCGCAACCCTGCCAGGCTCAGGGAGGCTTGTGGTCCAGGGAACAGGAGTGCAGGGTCAGCAGCGTTTCCCCGCCCCAGTAGGACCTGGGGACTGGACCTGAATCTTTTGGGGTGTAGGCGCAGAATCACCTCACTTTGAGATGGGGTGCCCCCCCATGATGGAGACTTTGTGGATAAGGAATGTGTGGCTGTCTGGACTGTGCCCCTCAAATGGAATTCTGAGGTGAGCTTGTGAGGCGTCACCCACAGTGCACTGCATGGAATCCAGGGCAGAGAGGAGGTGGGGGACCCCGGTGAGCTTTGCCCCAGGCCCAGGTTCAGAGTAATTGGTCTCTGAGGGATGTGGCGGGAGGGCCCGCAGCAGCCTGTCTACAGCTGGACCAAGAGCACCTGGTGACTGACACCCGTGGCCAGTGTGGAGCTGAGAAGGCAGGCTCTGCCTGCCGCTGCCTGGAGTGCCCCCAGGGCAGAGCTCACTGCAGCAGGAGGCCTGCCAAGGACACTTGCCTTCCTGGGCTGCTGGGGGCCTGACACCCCCAGGCCGCCGGGGACAGGGCCACCAATGGATTGGTGGCAGGCGCAGGCTGGTGGCTAGCTGGTCCACCACCATGGCCAGACCATGGTTCAAGTGTCAGACACATCCACACTGCCGTCCCACTGTCCTGCTTGGTGTGGGGAGGGGATGTCCCCATCTGGTGTCCACTTGCTCCAGCATCTCCCTCTGCCTGCCAGGAAGTCTCCACAGTGGCCCACTGCCCAGCCCAGGCCACGCCTCAGTCTGCCTCAGCCTCATGGAGCTGGGCATTTGGCTGGAGCTCCTGAGTTCCAGGGTCATGCCTGTCATGTGTCTTGTCCCCACATCCTGACGGGAAGGGGGGAAGGAAACTGGGAGAGAGGGCATGGGCTCGGGACCCCATCTGAGCTCCCAGTGACGCTGCCCCCGTGTCCCTGTGAGGGTGTATAGATGAATGTTGGGGGCGGCTTGGTGCCCCCGTCTGGTTCCCTGCGTTTGAGGGGGGCCGTCTCAGCAGAATTCTGCGCCTCTTTTGCTCGCTGGTGGCCTTTGCTCCGTTGCTCTGGCCCTGCATTGGTGGAGGGTGACCCCACCTGCGCTCCACCCTTGTTGCTGGCGACTGTCCCGCCGGACAGAGCCGTGGCTGACCCCCAGCTTCTGCAGGGCATCCTCCTGGTGTACGACATCACCAACCGCTGGTCCTTCGACGGAATCGACCGGTGGATCAAGGAGATTGATGAGGTAGGTGGGGCAGGCAGTGGGGGAGCAGCGGCCAGACCTGGCTCAGTGGGCCAGGCTAGATTTGACCCCCGCGGGAATCAGCGCGGCCAGAGGCCAGTCCGGGACCCCACGGGGCGGGAGGGGCGCTGGCTGCCGTGTCCCTCCTGAGCCCTGTGCCCCGCAGCACGCACCCGGGGTCCCCCGGATCCTGGTGGGGAACCGTCTGCACCTGGCCTTCAAGCGGCAGGTGCCCACGGAGCAGGCACGTGCATACGCCGAGAAGAACTGCATGACGTTCTTCGAGGTCAGCCCGCTGTGCAACTTCAACGTGACCGAGTCCTTCACAGAGCTGTCCCGCATCGTGCTCATGCGCCACGGCATGGAGAAAATCTGGAGGCCCAACCGCGGTGAGGCCCGCCAGTGCCCCAGCCCCGCCCACTGTCCGCAAGGCCCCGCCCAGACGCCACGCCCACTTCCCACAAGGCACCACTCGGAGGCCACGCCCACTGGGCGCGCCCTGTTGGCCGGCCCACCGCCGCCCCGCCCCATGCCACTCCCGCCGTTGGGTAGGCCAGCCGATCACAGCCCCTTGCTGGCCGGACCCTCTCCGTTTTGCTGACTGCCTGCCCCCACGCGTCCCTGACACCGCCCCAGTCTGACCCGTTCCCCCACCCTCCAGTGTTCAGCCTGCAGGACCTCTGCTGCCGCGCCATCGTGTCCTGCACGCCCGTGCACCTCATTGACAAGCTGCCGCTGCCCGTCACCATCAAGAGCCACCTCAAGTCCTTCTCCATGGCCAACGGCATGAACGCCGTCATGATGCACGGCCGCTCCTACTCCCTGGCCGGCGGGGGCGGCGGCGGGGGCAGCAAAGGCAACAGCCTCAAACGGTCTCGCTCCATCCGGCCCCCGCAGAGCCCGCCCCAGAACTGCTCCCGCAGCAACTGCAAGATCTCCTAGCGGCCTGGCTGCCCCAGCACGCCCGCCGCCAGCACGCGCCAGGGGGGCAGACGGTTCGGCAGGGGGCGCAGCCAGAGGACGTGGGGCACCGCCCAGGACGCCGGGTTCCCCTCCCGGCCTGAGCTCGGCGGAGGGTGTGTGGCTGCTGGAGCCGGCTCGAGAGGATGGAGGGGTCCGGGCATTCAAGGAGGCAGAGCCACCATGGGCGGAGCCTCAGGGCGTCCAGAGTCAGGGGGCTGCGCCCACCTTATTCACAGAAAACACGTGGCCTGTTTTTGTACATTTAAGGGCCATCGGGGGCCCGGCTGCAGCAGTGCCTGCCAGGGACGGTTGGAGGGGACGGGAGGCTGAGAATGGGACGTCTGTCAGAGCTGGGCTTTGGTTGTGTGTTCACATCACATCCTGGATACAGGGGATCACATCCTGGATACAGACCCATTGGGACGCAGGGTGGGCCACGTGCAGTACACTGACCTGGATGAAGCCGTGTGCCTGCCTGTCACCAGCCCTGGCATAGAGAATGCATACGTCCCCAGGGGCTGGGCAGGTTGCCCTGCAGAGGCTGAGCACTCCTACACATAGGTCTGGGAGCCATGGGCTGGGACGGCACACTGGGCAGCAGCCATCCTTGGATAGCCCCAGTGCACGGTGACCATGCCTTGTCCTCACGGATGTGCTGTGGGTCTACCACTGCTGTGAGTTGATCGCTGGTACAGCTGCTGCTGCAAGGGACATCACGTCCTGAGCGGGTCCTCCCCTCCCCACCCCCACCCAGCCTGGGGAAAGCGGCCATTGGTCACACTGGTGCTCAACTCTACCTCCTGTCCTTGGTCCCCTGGCCTATTCCACCACTCTGGGCCATCTCAGGTGGCTGGTGCATTTCCTGAGACTGCCCTGAGCAAGTGGCTGGCCATCACTGGACTTGCAGACCTGCCCCCAGGCCCCCACCCTGTTGCTGCAGATGGGCCCTTCCTTGAAGCCGTGACAGAACCCACAGACTTAGTTTTTCCTCGCGGATGCAGACAGCTCTGCACGCACGTCAACACTACCCTCGCTACTGTGGACTTGCTCCGTTCTGTGTTCTCTCCAAACGGTTTTTATTTCTTTGTACAGTAAATGTAATTCAACTGTGACACTGTGGTTCTCTTTGTATAAATTAAAATCTCTGGTTTTCATGTAAAGTGCCTGGGGGGGGAGAGGTTGTCCTCGCAGCTGCGAGCCGACCTGACTTTGCTGATGCGTGTCCCTGCACTCCGCTTCACACAGACCCTGCAGCTGTCCAGTGGGGTTTTGCTCATGAGGGTGAGGTGGAAGGGCCCAACAAGCCAGCCTGCATCTCCCTGGTCCCTGGTAAGGGATCCCTGGTGTCAGGCTGGTGGCTACTTCAAGTTGGGAGAGCCCCAGTGGGACACCTGCCAGGTCAGGGTTGGGGGCTGGGTGGGGAGCCCCACTGACCATGTGTGGAGCAGCTCCAGATTGAGACAGGCCAGTGGCGTCCTGGCATCCATCTTGGCCTCATCCCAACCACAACAAGCTATTACCCTGCCTCCTCCTGGGTCAGAGGTCAGATGCAGGGTCACAGGGACAGCTTCCCATCCTGTTTTGGAGCCCTCCCTGTTCCCTGGGTCTCTGGAGCTGCAGGGATTTAAAGAGCCACCTCCTGGGCGCCCTTTGTCCTGTGCCACACCGGATCCCAAGAAGGCTGCAGCCCGCCCCCACCCCCGTGGACGGCACCTCTGGCCTCAAGGACGAGCAAGGCTCCTGCTCTGACACCCTGGTCTCCCCTGGGGACTGGGCTGTGTGCCCGCCCTCTGCCAGGGCCACGTCAAATACCGAAATTTGAGTTAAGATGAACTGCAGTCTGCAGTTCGGTCCCCAGCTGCCCGTGGGCCAGTGGCTGACAGACTGGACAGCACACAGGTGGACTGCCCGCCAACCAGCGTGATCCAGAAACATCCCTCCTCTGGACCCGTTCCTGCCGGACCAGGGGCATCAGTGCCCCCACCAGGCCTCAGAGAGGACGGGGGGCGGGGAGTAGAAAAGCCTGTGGAATTCACCCCTTCTCTTCTGCTGGGGCCCAACTTGGAGCCCCTGCACCCCTTGATGTCTCACCTGGGCATAGTGTCTCACCTAGGTGACGGCAGGGACCAGCGTACATGGGGCCTGGTGGAGCGCCCAGGCGCTACTGGGAGGGGCGCCTGCCTCCGTCCACCCCCACCTCTGGGAGACACCCCCCCAACATCAATCAGGGACAAAAGCTGAGGCTGGCCAGCCCTGCCCCCACCTTCCTGGTCCTGAGACGCAGGGAGAGAGTCCAGACAGAGGGCTTTGATCCCACCAAGCCTTTCCCAAGCCCTGGGCGTGAGGGAGGGGCTCAGGTTACAGGGCGCCCCCGCCCCTCCCCCGCTGCGGCCAGGGCCGGCCCTTCCCAGCCCCGTGGTGACCCTCGCGGCCAGTGGCTGGGTGCTCCGGGCCGGCCCCTCCCCCGCGCGGCCGACCAGGGTGGGAGCCGCCAGCGCGGACGGAGGGACCTGCCGCACGGACTCTGAGCGCTCGGAGGGACCCCGACCACCCAGTCCCGGACGCTGGGACGAGCATCGGCTGTGGGCGCCGTTCTGGGGGGCCCAGGGGGTCGGAGAGGGCTGGGCGGGGGGCGGCGAAGACCAGCCGGCGGCAGGCGGGAGGCGGGAGGCGGGAGGCGGGAGGCGGGAGGCGCGAGCGGCAGGGCCGGGGTGGATGCCGGCAGGGCCTCCGCGGGGCGGACCAGGGGTTCCTGCGGCCCCCATGCCGGCCCCGCTGCCCCTCCTGACGGTGCTCGCCGCCGCTGCCGGGCTGGTCGCGGGGGTCAGCCTGTCGCCGCCAACCGAGGCCGGGAGTCACTCGGGCGTGTGCCCCAACCAGCTCAACTCCCGTCTGTGGGTGGACGCCCAGAGCACCTGTGAGCGCGAGTGCCTGGGGGACCAGGTGAGCAGCGGGGGGCGCGGGATGGGGGTCTGCAGGGGCCAGGTCGTCGGCTGTGGTAGTTAGTACCAGACGCCCCCGAAACACCGAGAGCCCCTTCCCCACTGCGCTGAGCCCTCTGGTCCCCACTGAACCCAGCCATTCCCGCCGGGGCCCTGCCCGCCTCTGGGGACCAGAGTGCACGTTCCCTTAGGCCTGCAGCTCTGGGGGTGCGGAGGGGCACCCCACGCCCCCCTCAAACAGCCTCGCCTTCCTAGCTCCCACTCCCGCTTGCTCTTCCATCTTGGGACCAGCGGGGTGAGGGCCTCGGGCCTCGGTGGGCCTCAGTTTCCTCGTCTGTGCAGTGAGGGTGGTGAGGAGACCTGCTTGGGGGCGGAGTGACCGCGTGAGGCCGCTGCAGCTCTGGCAGAGAGAGGAAACTGAGGTTCAGGGGGAGGCAACAATTGGCTGGGACCGAAGAGCAGGGCGAGGGTTCACTGCTGGCGGGAGCCAGCCGAGGAAGGAGCAAGGAGCGGGGTGGCGGCGGCGGGCGGCGGGCGGCCGCGCTGAGCGCTCCCCCTGCCTCCCAGGACTGCGCGGCCCCGGAGCGGTGCTGCCCCAACGTGTGTGGTCTGCGGAGCTGCGTGGCGGCCCGCTTCGCCTCCGGGGGCCCCACAGCACCAGCCGCCGCCTCCTGCGAGGGCTTCGTGTGTTTGCAGCAGGGCTCCGACTGCGACATCTGGGACGGGCAGCCCGTGTGCCGCTGCCGCGAGCGCTGCGGGAGAGAGCCCAGTTTCACCTGTGCCTCCGACGGCCTCACCTACTACAACCGCTGCTACCTGGACGCGGAGGCCTGCCTGCGCGGCCTGCGCCTGCGCGTCGTGCCCTGCAAGTCGGTGCTGGGCTGGCCCCCTAGCAGCCCGGGACCCCCCGAGACGCCCCAGACTCCCGACACCACGGCGCACCCGACTCCCGGGGCCGTGCCCGAGGCGCCCGAGCCGCCCGCGCTCTACAGCAGCCCCTCGCCACAGGCAGTGGCCGTCGGGGGCACGGCTAGCCTGCACTGCGACGTCAGCGGGCGCCCACCGCCCGCCATCACCTGGGAGAGGCAGAGCGAGCAGCAGGAGAACCTGATCCTGCGGCCCGACCAGATGTACGGCAACGTGGTGGTCACCAGCATCGGGCAGCTGGTGCTGTACAACGCGCGGCCCGAGGACGCCGGCCTCTACACCTGCACGGCCCGCAACGCGGCCGGCCTGCTGCGCGCCGACTTCCCGCTCTCCGTGGTGCAGCGCGG